GTGTAAATAAGAGTAATACTTAGGAACGACTAAGTTGTTTTCAATGTTACATCACATGTAAAATTCTTACCATTTGAAAATTCTTATTGGCACTGGTGGGACTCAAACTTGGACCCGTGAGGGGCATCTTTGGATTATGAGTCTGTTGCTTTAGGCACTACACCACTTCTTCGATCAATATAAACGTCTTACATTTTGTCTATATGTGTTGTAATGTGTTGTAAATTAATATTAATACTAAATTAATATTTAGTTTAAAAAAATATATGTTTAAAGCTATTTCCTGAACTTAAATATTAGATTCTTCAGTTGTTAAGAATAAGTTATTCAATTTGAGCAACGGTTGTCTCAATAACATTTATTCGTTATTTGTTTCGAAATTATTTCACGTTGGATAAAATATTTCTTCAATTTTATTATATATATTTTTAAAGTGAATTATTGCTCACAATCGCTACAATTTAATAAATAACCTCTTATTGTAACTAAAACATATTTGAATAAATATATTTATTTAGATTGAATAAATTTTTTTTCCTGTGTATGAGGAAAATCGTGGCACTTTCAGTTTCTATTTTTTTCGGCGAGAAGAATGAAACAAATAAGGAAAAATACAATCATAGATAGTGCCAACCGCAATAAATTTTATATAGAAACAACTGTATTCTATAGGATAATTTTGTACTCGTGTGAGTGCGCATGCTTTAATTTATTTAAAGACACCACTCATTTCGTTATATCCTAAGTGTCTCGGTTTTCCTGTTTCATCAGCAGATTTGTGGTCCAGGATGATTTGTTTCGCGGGTTTTTCCAGTCTTCGTGTTTCAATCCTTGAAACCTGAGAAACGCTTTGGCAAGAAATCGTAACATGAATTATGATTCTTTCGATGATCTATGTATTGAAGTCACATAATTTTGTCAATACAAACTAGCACTTACAATTAATATTAGCAGTAGTAAAATATTGACTTTTAAACGCTAGAAATTATTTATTTATTCCTACTCCATATGTTCTCTTATTTTAGTTTGCATAGTAAGAGAATTTATTCATATCATTAGTTTATTTATTTATTATTACTATTCATATTACAATATTATTTATTGATATTCATATATTATTAATATTATATATTTCTTAATTAAGCTGACAAGAAACTTACGATAATAATATAACACATTTTTTTCTTATTTTGATATTGCCTAGCAATATTACTTTATTAACCTTTAGACTGGACAAAAGCCACTTTTGTGGCTTTCTCGGCAATCTAAAGGTTAACGATACTTGAGAACAATATATCTTATATAAGAAATAATAACTAAGGATACAGAAAATTAATAAAATCTCATAGCTAGCGGTAGATACACGTATAAAATATCTAATGAAGTATTCTAATGAAATACATTTTAATGAATGTATTTATATGTATTTAATGTACATTAAATTTATTAATGTACATAATATATACATACATATGGACGTTTATTCAGTAATACTACAGAAGCCAAAAGAGAAATCCGTAAGAAGTATTGAAATATTACTCTAAATCTGAATTTCTATGAAATTTTGTTGTTATTTCAGATTCTTTCATATTAAATAATGCTAACAGAAAAGTTCAAAGAACCTCTCATACAGTTAAATTAAAATCAAACATTTCAGATTTTATTTTTGTAAATCCTTTGTTTAGCGTTTAAAAATTATCAATCGTACAAAAGTCTTTCATGTTAATCGTTTTGAAAATCTTTTGAAAATAATTACTTTTTTATCATGTTCAAGAAATTCATGCTATGAATCTAGATAACAATTTTATCAGTAAACATTATTCAATATAATATTATTGCAAGTACGCACTGCAAATCCAACGAAGGAGATTATTTTTAAACATATAATTTGACTGAAACTAAATCTAAATTATTTTTACATGTTTCTTGCGGTTTTAGATCACGTCATTTAACAGACATGTTTAAGAAACGTGTAAATTATAATTTAATATGTTTAAACATAGTAAATGACGAGACTTAAGATTATAAAAAACAGATTCAGCCAAAATAACGTACTTGGATTTGCAGTGCAAAGAGAGAGAGAGAGAGAGAGAAAAAGAGAGAGAGCAGACTTTAATTTGTCATACATAGCAATGCATTATAGAATAAGCAGTACAAATACCCAAAATTTTTTTATATTGTCCGCATCCATTTTATTGCAATCAATCTTAATCGATCAGTTTAATTTTGCCTCATAAAAATCATTACTTCTTAATCAAATTCTACTTCTTATTCAAGTTCTACGTCTTACTATTTAAATTTGTTTTTATTAAGAAATGTCTTTTTTTCCTTTAACAGATATATAGATATCTCTTTTTAGAGAAAAATTGAGAGAATATCCGAAAGCATTCCAAAATTAGAAAATCCTGTTTCTTTTTTTCAAAAACTTTAGAATTGAATGTTCAACAGTAATGTGTTGAAATATACATCTACAATATGATATTAAATAACGTATCGCATTATTCTAAAAACCTCCAGTATAAAAATAATATAGTATAAAAATAATATTATATCATATACCATATTATATACTATATTATATTAGTTACTATATTATATATCCATTATATGAAAAACATAACATAAAACATAACATAATATCTGAAAAAATATATTATGTAATGACATTATTTTTATTTCATAACTTCTATATATATATATAAGGTAATTTAGAAATATATTGACATGCAAATAAAAAATTTAGCTTAATCGATCAGTATTTTAATATTACATTAATTAATTTTTAAACTTATCTCTTTAATCACATATAAAAGAATGGAAATTACAAAACATATGAGCATTTGTGAGGTGTGTAGAACTTTTTAAAAAAGATCAAATTTCAAAATAATTTCACGGTCCGAAAAGAAGATAAATTTTAATTCACACAAATAATCAGAGATTTAATCATTTATTTTATTATATAATAGGTAATCATTTTGTTAAGGTTTCAATATGTTGAACTGATTGTTATAATAATATATATACTGGTACATTGAAAAATAAAAAAAACAATGCACTAATTACGTATTTATTTTTAAAAAAATTGCTTTTTATAAAAAAATTTAAATACACAGTTATAAAAAATATTAAATATCATAAAGATCTTATGTTTAACATCTTTACATATACTTCACAATACTGGAAGCATTTGCTTACAAGAAGTTTTATCAGATTATATTAAAGTAGTGTCAAATTGGCAAACATATTTGAAAACACGCAAAGAAATACAGCAAATGAAGATGAATTTAAGACGATTTTAAATGTATAAATATATGAACAGATTATAAATATTGACTTAACAGATACTAACACCGACGAACATTCGATGAGGTACGGTCGTGGGCGGAAAAGTTGTCTTTAGAGTCTATGGGAGAATTTTGCTATTGAAAAAGGAATTGTCCCATTGGACAAGATGAATTCACAGACTCGTCCCAAAAATTATGGATACCTTTCCTGTCCAGGACCGTATTATTAAAGATCGTCAGTTTAGGGCTAATGTTGATGAAAAGGGCTCGAACGTAACTGAAAAAAGATAATATTATCGATTATTTTTAGTTATTTGATATAAATATCTGCACAGAAAAAAAATTAATATCCATTTAAAACTAAAATATTTAAATCATTGTTTCGTATAAAAGTAATGATATATATTCTGTTAGAAGAATTAATAAATTTGTTAGAATTTTAATATCTTGAATTTTAACAATGTTATCATTTTATTTGAATTATATTATATATTATAACTTATATTATTAATTATATATTTGAATTATATATTATATATTATATTATATATTATATTATATATTATAACTTATATTATTAATTATATATTTGAATTATATATTATATATTATATTATATATTATATTATATATTATAACTTATATTATTAATTATATATTTGAATTATATATTATATATTATATTATATATTATATTATATATTATAACTTATATTATTAATTATATATTTGAATTATATATTATATATTATATTATATATTATATTATATATTATAACTTATATTATTAATTATATATTTGAATTATATATTATAACAATCTCATAAGAAGTACAATATGTTTTTGATGATAATGATATCTTCTTCCGAAACATCATATTCTCAATCCCATATTTTATGATTTTCATTCATGAAAATTATTTTTGAATAATAAGAATATATTTTTCTTTGTTAAATCACACACATATACATATACACAAAATATATTGATGCAAGTATCTTATCTTTGTTTAACATTATGTAATCTCATTTTAAGATTTATATGTGAAAAATAAGATATTTTTAAAATAAGAATATTCTTTTTTATTGTGTGGATATTTAGGACGTGTAATAAGCATTAATTTACGAGTATCTCAATATTTTATCAATATTTTATCAATATGTATACACAGAGAGAACGATTTATTGATTCAAATAAATATTTCTTTGGAATAGTCCAAACGAATTATTTGGTTGACACAACAAAAATATTCCTTTGGAACTAAGCCGCAAATAAATATTTTTATTGCTTCAAACAAAATTTTGTTTGATCAATCGAAAAATTCGTTTGGACTATTCCAAAGAAGCGTTTATTTGATTCAACCAAATCGTTCTCTCTGTGTACAAACTTACAATGAAATATATTAGATATTTCTGTAATTATATCTACACTGGTTTGATAAAAAATTTACTGATAGAAAGTTATTAAACGGCGAAATTTGTTATAAATCCCATAAGGTTGATGGCTTTTACTCTTCATCGGTAGCATTGGTGCGTATTAGTACATCTATTTCGCCATTAGTGATAACAGTATTTTTAGAGATACACTCTGTGTATATTTCTCGCGCGCGCGCGCGCGTACCCACCATTAATTTATTATATTTCTATTTCTTTCGCGTTCGATTCAACCGTAAAAAAACAAATTTTATTCAAATCTATATTTCTTTTGCTTCACAGTATCTGACACCCAAAACGGACCTCATCAAGAACAGGAGAATGAAACGCAGATTGATGCTGCATCGCCGTCATCGAGCGTGAGTATTTACACGACACTTCACCATCGGCGTATCAAATGTTAATATTAATACCGCCTGTACAATTAATGCCGCATACTTAACTAATACTGTGTACCTTCTCTAAAAATAGGTTGAGCTGGCGGAGAGCGCGCGTCCATGCTCGACATGCCCGTCGGTGCTTTCAAATTCTCGCGAGTTGAATCACCAACGCAACCACAACTCACCTCGCAGCACGGATTGCAGTGGCGAGGAGGACTACGGATGCGGCAAATGCAACAAAGTATCCACCGACGAGCGGCCCGTTCATCGGACGCTCTCGCCCAATAGTTGCACGGATTCTGAAGGAGGTAGCTCTGAAGGAGGTTCCGACAGACCAGTGACGAACAGCAACGAGCTCACCAGTGGCGATTCGCCAGAATCGCTTGACCGACAGGAAGCGTCACCTAGTGGCCGCGCGACTAACAAACGGAAGTGCCCGGACACGGACGACGCGGAGAGCGAGAGGAGAGAGAGCAAGATCCTCTTGAACAACTTCAAGATGGTGATCAGGCTGGACGAGGGTTTCACTTGCCCGGTCTGCGGACGGCAGGATTTCGCGACCAGCGCACTGCTGCAGACTCACCTGGAGAGCTCCCACCCGGAGTTCCCGGCCAAATGCGAGGTCTGCAACATCACATTCAAGAACCATCGCACGCTGAATCTGCACCGCACCATGAAGCACTTCAGCGAGAGCGCGGCCGGCACGAATAGCCGGAGTGTTCGCAACTATGTGGATGGCTTCAACGACTGCACGTTCGTCGACTTCTCGTCCACTAAGTTCCCGACGATCGCGCGAGCAGTGTGCGAGCGGGAGCCGCACCGGCCAGCCTCCGGCGAGGCGAATAAGTTTCAGTGCATGAAGTGCCTCCGCGCGTTCCCCTGCAGCCAAGCTCACCTGGCCCACGAGGAGGAGTGCAAAGGTCCTTATGAGAACAAGAGGACCAACAATGACAACAACAACAACAATAATATCAGTACCAATAATAACCTCGACAATGATCTAGACATCGCCAGTCCACCGGCAGATGACCTGAAGATAAAGCGCGAGACCTTCTTCGCGACCTTGGACTTGCAAAATAATTCGACGATGCATGAGGCCGTCAAAGAGCGCAAAGAACGAATCAAGGAGCCTATGAACGACATCAAAGAGCCGAAAGACCTGGCGGACATTCAGAGCATCATCCTGACCGTCGCCAATAACGCACCCATGTCCTTCCCACGCTCGGACGCCAGTACACCAGAGAACAACGTTAAGTTCAACCTCAGTGTCGGCTCCTCCGGCTCCTCAGGCACCTGCTCGTCCGAGTACACGGAGGAAGAGGGTCACGAGTCCTTCGCCGCGGAATTCCGCAAGATGAAGCTAAAGGGTGAGTTCCCTTGCAAGCTGTGCACAGAAGTGCTTCGCAACTTGCGGGCGCTCAAGGGGCACAATCGCGTGCACATCAAGCACGCCGGCGATTATGGCTTGCCGTATCCGTGCAACATGTGTTCTTATACCAGCACCGACAAAACGACACTGCAGAGGCATGTAAGGTCCCACAACGGCGACCGGCCATTCGAGTGCTCGCTATGCAACTACGCTTTCACCACCAAGGCGAATTGCGAGAGGCACGTGAAGAAGACACATAATATGTGCAGCAAGGAGGACATTCAGAACGCACTCATCTACCATCCGAATGAGGACTCGACCAACGATAATGTCGTCGGCAGGAGCTCGCCCCGAGCTGGCAGGGAGGACGCACGGAAGGCGCTTATTTATCCGAACGAGCACGACGAGGTTGTTCCTCAACACCATCAACAGCAGCCTTACACGTTGGACTGCAGGTACTCTGGACCGTCGACGTTACCAGCGGCGACACGCTCCGAGAAGCCAGAGCCCCTCAACCTCGTGAAGAAGGATACCCCGGATCTAATCATGCTGCAGCTGCCGCTCATGAACGCTAGCTGCTCGCGAGCGGACGAAGACGCTGAGTCAAGATCGTCGGACGGCAGCGTATCTCTAGTCAGTGATACCAGAGCAGACCAAAGAATTCAAGCTAGTCCGATGAATCTGTCGAAACCGTCCACGAGCGGTGGTCATTTCGTGTCGGGCGTGAACGGAGAAGAGGGTCCATTGGATTTGTCCATGGACGTGTTGGACCTAAGTAAGAAACAGAAACGGGAAGGCGAGGCGTCCACGGAGTTGCAGCATAACAACAGACAAAGAGACATATACAATGTGACTAGCCACGCGTTGTTCCTCACGCATGCGCTCATGAGCAACGCCGCCGCCACGCAGAATTCCGTGCCGACGTCGCTCGAGAGCTTTTATGCCAACACGCGCTCTCTGATCTACCGTAATTTCGGCACATTGACGGCAGACGCGGTCAGAGCCGGCATGATACCGCCATACTTGCTGAATCCGCAGGTACTGAATCACGGATTGGCGGTGAACGGCAGCAAGCTACAGAGAGACCTCGTGCGAGGTCTGCAGCTGACTGGCGGTGGCACCATGGTGGATCACTCGTTACCCAGCACGAGCTACGCCGTACACCCTCAGGTGAGTGGCAATGTCGGAACTCCGCAGACCTCGAGCGAGCAGAGTGCGTACGCGAACTCGTCGAGCACGCAGATCGCAACCACTCAGCAACAGTCCACGTCAGCGCGTCAGCTGACGCGACGGACCGAGAGCGTGCCGTCCAGCAATTCCGTGAAGATGGTGCTGAAAGACGGGATACTGGTGCCCAAGCAGAAACAGCGCAGATACCGCACCGAGCGACCGTTCTTTTGCACGATCTGCTACGCGCGGTTCACCCTAAGAAGCAACATGGACCGACACGTGAAGCAACAGCATCCCCAGCGTTGGAGCCAAAAGAAAGCTCGCGGCGGCCACTCGACCAGAGGCAGGCCTCCCGCGAACCACACGGCAAATGTGCTCGCGCAGAACTCAGAAGTCGTCCCGGAAGATGTCGATTCGCCCGTCTCGCAAATGGCTCAGTTAAATCCGAGCACATCGCGCACCGAGTCGCCGATGACCTCAACGGAACACAGCCGGCATTCTATCTCGGACCAGGTAAAATACGCGATTCTGGCGCAGCAATTGAAAGCTAGCAAAATGGATGACAACGACTCGGAGCAAGAAATGGTAATAGACGAGGAATCGACCGACAAGGATTCACAGAAACCGCAAGCTCAGCAAGAACTCAGCGCGAGCTTGTTAAGGGATCAGCTGGAGGGCAATGAGGTTGTCAAAGACATCGTCGTGAAGATGGAGGTTGAAGACTCTGCGGAGGGGACGTCGGAGGAATCTCACGAGCAAATCGTGCAAACTAACGTCGATGAAATTAAGAAAGAGGAATTCCCGGTCACGGAAAGCAAAGCGACGTGCGGCGGAAGCACGATGAAGACGAGAGCCGCCGGAGGCGAACAGGGGAAACTGGAGGATGGCACAGCGGACTTGGCGAGCGTGTCGAAACTCTTGGACAACGCTTCCCAGCAATACCAGCAATTTCAACCGCAGTATTTGAGCGACGAGGAAGGTCTGATAGCCTCGACCAGTGATTACAACAATTCGGGCAGTGAAAAGTCGGACTCGCCCAATTCACTGAATTCTGAGACCTCGTCAAGCAAGAAAAGAAAGAAGAAGAAGAAGTCTGCGTACTCGATGGCGCCAAACAGAGTGATCTGCCCGTATTGCCAGCGCCCGTTCCCGTGGACCTCATCACTGAGACGGCATATCCTCACTCATACTGGTCAGAAGCCATACCAATGCATCCACTGTTCACATCACTTCACCACCAAATCTAACTGCGACCGCCATTTGCTGAGGAAGCACAAGACGAAGGCGAACAAGACCCGTCGCATTCGGAACTCCACATCGCCGGAGGTCGAGCAGACGGTCGCCAACAGCAATAGCAACACGTTCACCACGAGGAACGTGCCCGAGAGACCATATAAATGCAACCAGTGCCCGAGCTCGACGTTCTCCACGTTGGGCAACCTCAAGAAACATCGCTCAACGAAGCATGCACTTCGCAAGACCAAATGCAGGTCGGATACGCCGTCCAGTGATCAGCAGAACAGTCCACCGCAGTCGTCCGCGCAGAACGACCAAAGTGACTACGAGAGCCGGTCGTCCAGCGTCTCTGAGAACACGGACAACTCGCCGCCTATCACTAAGTCGAACGCCACCACGTCTCCGACGATGAATCACGAAACTATCAGGTCTCGCAAGTCATCCCCAGCGCCGGTTGACGTGCCCTTTAAGTGTCACCTGTGCGACAGCTGCTTCACGGACCGTCAAGACTGCCTGGAGCACATCAAGGTGAACCATAAAGACAAGTACGATATGCTGGTGATCAAGGGTGCCTTGGACATGGATATAGACGCGTCTGAGGATCAGATGCTGGCGCAGCAGCATTCCAGCGACGGCGAAGGGAAAGGCGGCCGTTTCCATGACTACAGTAATAGAAAAGTAAATATTCTTTTGTGTGACTTTGACCTTTCTGGATTCGTCCGTTAGATTCTAAATTACGAGATAGTACTAAAGATCTTCAGTTCTAGGTAAATTTCCGTAATGGCAAAGAGACTATCTCTACGTCTGTTCTTACAGTAAAATTTTGGTTTGCTCCAATGAGGAGCATAACTAAGTATATAAGAGTATTCGAAAATACATTGGCTTCAATACAAATTTATTTTTTGAGTTTAACGTCTACGAGAATGTCTTAACGGCTCAGTCTTTTAAAATTTTCTTGAGATACTTATTTTGAGATTGTGTTAACTGAGACAAATATTGTGTTAGAGATGAATAAATAAATTTCAACTTAATTAGAAACTATATATTTTTAATTTAAAAAAACTTTGTCTTTAACAATAAAGCTTTTTATCTAAAATATTTACTTAACGAAAGTAAATATTTTTGTTTTATAAGTAACAAAAACTATTTAAAGACATATTTTTTTTCAATATAAATGAATATTAACTTGATTCAAATAATATTTTTTTTAATTTAACAAGCTTTTTCAGTATAAGTATTTATTTTTTGACGACAATATACTTATTATTGAACTAAAGAATAAAATTTCTCCATTTTTAAACGTACATATTCTTTATTTGAAATAAATATTCAATTTAATATAGTAAATGTTTATTTATATATGAAGAAAATATATCACATACATTGCATATAGTTTAATATACTTCTATTTCTAATAAACATTTGCTAAGGAATATTAGAGCAATTATTTGACTTTGATGAAGTAAATAGTACTTGAACATAGCGCTTACTTTTTTTAATATATAATCACACGGACTAATTCTCAACTTTCCTAGGTTGTATGCGCATTCTGCTTGAGACGATTCTGGTCCGCAGAAGATCTCAGGCGGCACATGAGGACCCACACCGGCGAGAGGCCCTTCCAATGCGACATATGTCGCAGGAAGTTTACCTTGAAACACAGCATGCTTCGTCATCGTAAGAAGCACGAGTCGGTCGATTCGTCCATGTACATAGGTAACAGCGGCGACGAGGAGAACCCACCCACGCAGCCACCGACGATAACCCCAAGGAGCCAACAGCATTCGCCGGTACCCACGAACACAAGCAGACCTCGGACTCAGGACAGAATCTCTCTGCCGACCGTCGCGGCGGTCGCAACCGCGGACGCGGCACCCTGCGCGCTGATGCGATACAATCACTACGATAACATGGCCACTCTGACCGGCAGAATGGCGAACGATGGCTCCCAAAACGCCGCGCATCCTCCCCTTTGCTCGACCCCTCCGCCCGCGGAGGCACCAGGCGAAAGTGGTGAGAACGATCTGATCTCCGACTTGCTGGGAATACGCGAGAAAGGCCTACTGGACAAGGTTCTTCTCAGCACGGCGGACGATGCGGCGAAATTGTTGGGTGTCAATCGTAGCGAGTGATAAACGGTTAAGCGAAAATCTAGGCTACCGGGAGTAGCGAGCAGTTTCGAGTCCGAGCGCGGACTGTTGATCGGTACTGAAAAGAGCAACGACGATCTGACAATCTGCCAGACAATGAGAAAAATACGAGGGCGAATCCGAAATGATTCGCATTGTATTCCGAAAATTTATTAGGACACCATCAATCTTTTTTATACGTCATCATGGTAGTAAACAATTATGTGAATAAATTTAGTACTATTAATTTATATATTTTAATATGTGAATATAAATTATTAGTATCGATTAATTTGTTATTATGTGTTGTTAAAGTGTTACGCATTTCCATGTAGAAATAGGGGAGAAATTTTTTAGAGAACTTCTGAGAAAAAAAAAGTAAAAAATCATGTTCTAATTTACCGTTATAACTGCTAAAATAACAGCGAAGATTAACTAAAATTGTACTCAATGAGAATATCCTCATAGAAGAATGTTTTAAAATGAGAGATGAACAAATCTTCGTCGTTTCTCGCGTATCATCTTGCTAGGGACATAACAGTGAACAGTATTCGCTATAATGAAAAATGTAATAAGTTAAAGCTCGCAATTCTAAGTAAACGCAGAAAATTATTATTTAAAAAGTGTTGCATCATGATGCTTTAAGGGGTTGTCGACTTGCTTCGAATCAATAACTGCAAAATCATCTACATAAAACATGTTTTTCAACCTAAAACCTAAGACTTTTTTGTAAAAATATACAGACATTTGAGGCAAGACATCAAGAAACTTCTAATGTTGAAGAAATTTTTAATGTTGTTTAATAAATGTAACATCTGTATATCTTCACAAAAAATATATTAGGTTAGATAAGTATATTAATAATATATAAATTACATATATATATATATATATATATATATATATATATATATATTAATAATAAATATACTAGAAAACAAGACATTCTTGCGCAATTACTTGCTTTGTTCTCGATCCGAAGCAAATCGACGATTTCTTAAACAGCTTTGAATGAACCAAATAAGCGATATTCTAAAATTATAAGAGTAATTCTCTGTCATCAATCTCTCTAACATCGATCATTGATGGATCATGTTAACCGGATAATTCTAAATCTGAATAATAATAAATCTTAGATAATAATGACAAACGTATTGATCGTTGACATCTTTTACATCAAATTAAAAAGATGCGAGACCAAGGCTGTGAAATGGATGTTTCGATATTTAAAGATACAATCCTATCGTATATGGATGTCCTATCCTATCGTATGGATGTATCGATTATTCCAACGGCAATATGAAGACGAGCATCCTCTGAGTTTATTTTGAATCGTAAATCAGTTTGGCTTTTTTCTGCGACATTTCATTGTAGCGAATGCTGCTCACTGTTCCACTTTTCGCACGATATATCTCGAATCAAGAATTATGAAATAAATGATTTGTTCCTCAACGAAAACTTCATTTTGTGAGGATACAGCTTGAGTTAAGACGCATCAGGTGATCGAAAAACTTAGGAGGTTATTCTGAGAAACGATGACCTGCAAATTCTTAATGTTGTTCTAATAAATTTTACAGTTACGAATAACTGTTTATACTCCTTCGTATGAGGATGGAAGAGCAAAGTCAGGCGTGAGAGCAGGAGGCACCCTTGAGTCCGCGACTCGCGAGCGGAGCGTAGATCGAATCGTCAGTTCGAATTCACGGAGCCTTCGCGTTTATTCAAGGTTCACGATCGTGCCTTACATTCTTCATCTATGTTTATCATGTGCGCGCGCGCGCGATAGAACGTCGTATTTCGGCGAGGTCCTTCTCGATCGAACGGGATGTTGAGGAGAGCGGCAGCGACCGCGATGAGACTTTGCGCCGCGTGCAATTGTTACCCTCTGCGACATGAAGTTTCACTTCGCCGGGAAGTACACTGAGTGTCGCGTAATCGACAGGTTATATACTCGTCACGTGAAAAATAGGTGCAGTGAAAACCGATAAGGATTCATCAAATCGATAGGGATTCATCTCAGGAATTCGTCCTCGTCGCGTCTCTCTGATTTTCTACACGTCAGGGATTGGTTTTACACACTCCCCGTCAGTTTCCTTCTATTTTACCCTCCCTCTTTTTCTCTCTATTTTATTCGCATTCTTATCTGCGAGGGAATAGAAGGAGATTCGACATACCTGAAACCAATCCCCGATTTTGAAGATCAGACGCGGCTAGTCTCTCACAGAGAACACGCGAATGCCTCTCGATTCACCTATTTTCCGCTTGGTATGCTTATTCCCATCAAACCACTGCGAATTTTGTATCATTTACTATCATTATTATCGTCATCATCATGTAATCTTTCCTTCTACCGTGTCGAAAGTACCTGCGCTGAATTTTTCACTCATTTCGCGAACATATTGTTCTATCTTAACTCTGTTTCATCTTAACTCTGAAGCGTTCACATGAAAAGTCAGATGGTTTTATCGCAGTTACGTCTGTCTGTAGCGACGTAAACATCTAAACATAATTAAAAGTAGTCTAGCATCCGAATTGACTATGTTAACTGATACTGAATAATTCTAAATCAGAATGATGATATATATGTAAATTTGAGATAATGATGATAAACATACCGATCACTGAATACGCGCTGAATAATTGTCAATTTACTTGATCAGTATAAGTCACGAGTTCTCATTGTCGAATCTTTCTCTTGGATAAAATTAAATTTTTCAAATTCGAAGATTTTACCATACAAAACTGCATATAAGACATAAAACCATTCTTTCATTTCATTAAGACTCCTGACTCGTCGCTGCAGCCATCTTGCTTTATGACAGCAGAAAAACGAGAAATATACTTAAAAATGTCTAGCAAAGTACGTAGAAGTAAAAAGATGTATTTATAAAATAACACTTATAATTGATCGAGCAAATGTTTAAAATAACCCAACCGCTTACACTTTATTCTAGCAGTCAGTAAATAACTATAAAATTAATAAAATAATTAATTAGTGAAGGAAATTAATGTGTGTGTGAGATTAAAAAAGGTTACGTGTCAATTTTACGCTAAGTTGTTGATTATTAGAGCAAAAGGAAGGACTATTTTACAGATGCACCCGATCAATTGTGTCATTTGATACTTATATTGATATAATCTATATCTATTTATATCTTTTTATTATACATATTTTGCAAGGGTTTTTCCCGTCTCTGCGGTCATCAATCGAGAGTCGCGAGAAAGAGCCAGGAGTCTTAAAAAGAAAACAAGGAACACAGAAAAGAATAAAAATTTAGAGGAATACTAGAATGATTAAAATTTGATGACAGTCGATACCCAGTAGACATCAACTCTCTAGCAGTAAACATCACATGAATATTATAATTTCTCACTTAACAATATATAACTATTATACGTACAGCGTGTGTTATATTACACTTACATATTGGGAAATTATAATATTGTAACGTTACTGCGTTCGCTGATATTTACTGGGTAAAAATACGATCGAAATGTCACGTATCTTCCTCCTTCACTAACGCACGGGCATTAGACAACGAAACGATTTATGCTTTTTAACCCAAGTTCCTTCGTAACGCCTCGAGTCTTCGTTTTCCCTCGCGAGAAGCGCATGCTTTGCATCCTGTACATATGTGAGTCGTATGAATTTTTCAGAATACGCTTACAATTCTCGATGATCGCGCGTGTACATCGCTTGTCGTTCACGGAGCGCGGCACTACCCATGACGGAAAACGCGAAATCGTCGGGAGGAGTGACACGTGTGTGTGTGTGTTGCATTTCTGTTCGCGCCAGTATTAGACGAAGTTCGCGGTCCCGAGTCTCATGTCAGTCGTGCTCGCGCTTCGAACGATCGTCTCTATCGCGAGAAGACGTCGCTGCGTTTAATCCCAAAGATTTTGCGGTATAGACTAAGTTATACATATATATATATATATATATATATATATATATATATATATATATATATATATATATATA